GTATAGTGGTCAGCACTGTGAATTCGGCAACCTGAGTTTCATCTCTGGACATGGAAAATATTAATGGTGGATGCCACGGTGGCGAGGTGTTAACTCCCTCACCTGGTATGCAAGTGGTTCTGGGTTCGATCCCAACCCTGGAGTTTGCATGTTCTCCCCGTTGTCGCGTGGATCTTTCCCAGTAATCCGGTTTTCCCCCTCCACATTTAGAAACATGGGCTTAGAGTATTTGGCTACATTATGAGACCTCCTTTGCGCTGTTTTTGAGTTGTACGCCTTTTGGCGTCATCTGGTCCAACACCAGTGGAGACCAATCAATTTCAAGGACAGTGCATATCATTATCAGAGTTGTCTCTTTTTGTTTGCATTTTGAATGCTTGTGTTGTGGTTATTGCAAACATGATCCCTTGTATAAAGGTGTCAGTTTTTGTGCCAGATAAAAGGGTAAAAACCTATTACTATATTTGGCTACAATAAATGTCCACGTGATAAGCCAGGTCGCTATACAGCTCAGTAGGGTAAAACAAAAAAATACTTTATCGTTTAACGGTGAGTGATGTGTGAACCCGTTCTCGGCGCAACCTTCACCAGCAAATCGTGGGAGCTGCACCAGACTCTAACGCTGGCCAAACGCCCTCTTCTTACAATCGCTTGATTGTGCCACTGCTGTCGCAAGGCCTCCACTCGAGGGAGCTCAAAAGCCACTCTTAGAGGGTAGTATTGGCCTACTCTTCCACGCTGAGCAGCCAGTCTTGCCAGAGGAGGGAGTACCCATCACTTGAACAGCGGTGCACTCATTCATTTACAACTCCAGCTGGGTGGACATCGGGGGGAGATATTTACGAAACTTTCACCATTGGTTCAATTGCGTTTTGCTTCGTAAAAGTAAACATATTTTAGTATATCGGTCGACTGGCCTCCCAGACTTATGAAGCAAACGACATCTCGGCTGGTTTCGCTCTTCTGGGGCTCATCAGCGGGAAGGCACTCGGTGAGATTTTATGCAATACAATTACAGAGACAAGCTCAGCTTGCTTTGAGAACTATCGTTTTTACAGCAGGTGGTTTATTGGAATGGGGTTTACGAGCGCAAAACACTAATGCAAACAAACAGTATAGTTCAATTGTTAACCCTAAATTGTATCGTTTATTACATACGATAAAACATAAAATACATATATATTTTTTCAAGCACATTTTAACGTGTAACTAAAGCTCTGCTATTTTCACCTGCCCAAGGCGAGGAAAAAGATTAAAATCAAGTGGGAGAGGGTGCGTCTTTGTTTCTGCAGCTTTGGGCTTTCACGGCGGTGCCTCTACGGCTCCAGGCGCCGTGTTGCTCGGCCACTGCGTCCACCGTTTCGCCGTCCGTTCGGAGAGTTTTTCTCCGTGAACTGAACCGAGGTCCGCGAGCGAACCGTCGGACGCTGGACGCCACACCGAGCAGCGCGCGGCGAGACCCGCGGAAACCCGTTTGCGATCGGCAATTTCGTAGCAGGCGCACAAACACCCACGCACGCTCCCGGTGGGAATGCCCGGTGGGAATGAGCCATGTCACGAGAAAACGCCTGTAAAAAGAACTATAAACATGCACACACATTCATTACCTAACGAACACTCCCCTACTGATATGCCTACAGGAAAGATTTAACAACTTCCAGTGGTCTGGCTGGGCGCTTAACCGTCTCGCCGTCCACTGTGGTTATTGTTGTTGTTGTTCTTGTTGTTGTTGTTGTTTAATTCCACGGGAGATTTTCTTGCAATGAGAGGAGAGCTGTAAACTTGTCCAAACAAAACCCCCAAAAAACAAGACCAACATTTTGGCACAGGCCGGAAACAAAAGCAGGTTATCGCGTGAACAAAAAAAGAATGCAAAATCCACACATGCTGCTACGAGCGTAGAAGGCTGGAGGTGGTAACGGGGTTTTGATGTATTACCCGTTTTGTGTGGAGCTGCTTTGTCATGTAAGCCCATTCATCACCGAGAGGGATGGAGTACCGCATGATAACTTTGATGCTAAACACAGAAATAATAGCATTGTCCTGTTTACAAATCAGACAGACGGTGCAAAGCTCAATATCCAACGGATTTGAGGTGGGGGGGAGCACAATTGGTCTCCAAAAGCATCCACACACGCTCATTCGTGGTCAGTTCATTGCATCATCGTCACTCTTCTACTGCTACTACCACAGCTTGGTACACCACGTATCCAATTATTTTGGCGCACATGTCCAATAATATAGGATTACAGAGGAGTATCTTGTAATGTAGTGGTGGTGCCTTATACCGACAAAACCTTCTCCAAGCCAGCCTAACAGAAACCGGTATTGTCATGGTTACTCTTTCCATGAAAATTACTCATCGATTCCCGCCCCTGGTACTGCTGCAATCGGAAATCCCTGCCAATGTCGCTTTTCCCCAAGAGTTTGTGCAACCTCGCTCGAATTCAGGAAACGTATGAGCCCATCGATTACGACTTAAACAATGCTAGTTTGTCACTGGCAGTTGGGCGCTCTGGGCAAATTGCACAACCTGTGCTCAGCAAACATAGTGGGAAATATAAACGTGCAGGTGTGTGCACATGCGCGCGTGCACACAAACTCATGCGGGGTACCGCGTGAAAAAATTAACGGAGGCCCCGAGTAGCAAAATCCTTGCGGAGCTTCCACATTCTTAACGAGAGGGTGGCACAATATCGCGTCGATGTTACACACACTTAATTAGCCTAAGTAAATAAAACGTTTGCATATTCATCCAATTTCCTCGCGCAGCCATTTCTCAAGTACGCAAAGTACCTCACTTTTACCTGGAGTAAGCAAGCTCATAATTGCGAGGATAAAAAAAATGTTTGCCTCGTTGGCGCTTAAAACAGATCATTAAACCGAAATCGCATGCGGACGGCCTAATAAACGGTATTTAGTCTCCCGAACTTAATTCCCGAAAAACTGTTTGCCGTCCGTAATTGGTGGGCCCTCAAAGCGCGGTGGGGAAGAATTTTAAACTTCAATCAAGTGTGTATTTTTTTTTTTTACGGGCTTGAAACGGGCGGCCAAGCAGGGCACCTTGCCTGTCTGGGCAGGCAAGGTGCCATTACTCCGGCTGGGGCCCATTAGTAGGCGGGAGTGGCATGTAATTGGGGGCTAATTGAGGCCGATGCTTCCTGGAATAGCGTCACGAAAGGGCCGTAATCAGCACACCGCAGGGTGCAGCCGCCTTAACCTTGGTCGTGGAAAGCGGTTTCGCCAACTCTTCCGTGCTGTCGACTTGCTTGAAGTTTAAAAAAAAACATTAATTCACATTTCATCCCCACTCCCTAAAAATACCACATTCCCGATCGCTACCCCTCCCCCTTTCCCTTACCCCGGCGGACACCTGGCCTCGGGCTTGATGTCCGTGGGGGGAAAAAAAAACAAAAAAACCTGTGTCACTTTTCCCTATCGCTCGTGATTTGTAAAGGTCTCTTGTTTAGTGCAAAAAAAATTACATACGTACAAAAAACACGGAGGGTAAAACAACGGCCAGGATGACTGTTGCCGCGTTGGCATGTTGGCAAGGTTGGTTAGCCCCACGGGTCGATTTGCAGCGTTAATACGAGATGCGGAATATGAGCGTTGGGCGGTGTCCATTATTTATTCATTAAAAAGTGGGCCGAGATTGGCATATTGTGCAAACGCTACGCAAGGTTTGTTCGTGGGATTGACGGCTCTCTCTGACTCGTTCTCGGGATGCGCCGCGTGTTTTGCTCGGCACGATGTCCGACGTTTTGCTCCGATTACCTCCAGAGGCCCCCGGCACGTGGAGCGAAACGTCTGACATCCTAGCAAGCAGCACGCGGCTACAACCCGCACACACGTCTGACACCCTATGCATGACCACTCTCGGAAAGTGGCATTTACAATGTTACAGAAGCAATTCATCATTTTCATCATCATGATGTTCCAAAGTGGCATTGTAATGAAAATGGGGTGATGTATGTGGATGTTGAACTTCTTTTGCACCGTACGTAACCAACCGTGCTGATCGGAGGTGCGGGGGAAGGACAACGAACTAAACACAAAAATCAGTTCTAATGAAATGAGTTTTCAATCTGGATTTAAAAGTGCGTAGCTCCAGTGGCTTCCTAATATCGGAAAGAAGAGCATTCCAGATGGCCACAGAAGCGCATCTGAAAGCGTGCGATGCAGTGACCGTCTTTGTTCGAGGAGGGTAGTGAAAGATAATGATGAAGATGATGGTGACGATGGTGACGAGGAAGAAGTTGCACACCTTAGAGAGCGTGCAGTGGCCGTCCTGGCCAATATTGGGGGCCCTAAGCAGAAACTATTTAGAAGTGGGCCCCTCTCTTTCAATGGATAAACTCCCTTTGACTTTTGACAGAAGAACTCAAGGCAAAAAGTCAGAGACATAGTGAGATGAGAGAAGAAAGATACAGATGCGATGGAAATGTGATGAAATCAGAGATGTAGACAAGATGAATATATGATCCGTATGGCGGTACCCAGGGGTACCAAAGAATAAAAAATGGCCGAGGCAATTAAATATTTTATTTCTGGGACACTATTTTTTTTCCAGGGGTGTTACTTAACTCTGCGATTGGGGTACCAATCAATCCGAAATCAGTGCTACTCCGCGATGTCGAAACGCCAAACATCATCATAAAAAGATCCGTTATCGCAAAAAATCAACTTTGAATAGTGCATCGTGCACAGCTCGTCGAGATGAGTCGATTGCCGCATCGCCGACCACCAACAAACTAAAGATTACTGCATCATATGTAGTGAGAAGAGAGCTGTACACAATCTACGGGAACAGTGATCCTCATCTTTGGGTTTCTTAGGATCTCAATTCAAGCTGGAATTTGGTCCAATTTATCCGGGGGTCCCTTGAGCCACCTGGCGTCCTTACGCCCCCGTTGGCTTCGTTTGCTTACTACGCCTCGTGCCACCCACCGTGTGCGTGCGTGCGTGTGCGTCCTCGTGTGCACGCCAAGCCGGGGCACCTGCAGAACATGAGGATGTTGAACGAGGACGTCTCGTCGGGCAGCGGCACCGTCTGCTGCAGGCAGAGCTGCTCGCAGCCCCCATTCATCCCGTCCGAGCAGTCGACGCCAAGCCTGTAGTCGTAGCAGCCAGACCCATCCTTCATGGGCCGCAGGCCCCGAGGACACTGATGGCAGAGCGGGGCAGGGGAGGAGGTTGCGGGGGCGTGAGCGTTGGGACCGGACAACTTGCCGAAGCAGGACAGGAGGAATGCCTAGACGCCAAACGCCAGACGGCTTCCGATAATTGCGCGCATTTATTTCCGTTGCACTCGTTGTCACCGAGCGTCAAGCATTGGCGTTTGACGTACCCCCCCCTACTGCCCCCCCATCATCCCCCCACTGCCCCCCCATCATCGCCCCCCCCCCAAAAAAAAAAACCAGCCAGATTTTTTAATAGCACAGATAAATAGTTGTCCGAATGAAAATATATTTAACTTCCGTTTTTTTCTCATCTCGCTGACAGCTTTTATTCTCTCTCTTTTGTGCGTAAAGGTTGTCGCCTTATTTCTTATAAGTTTTGCATTGAGCAGTCGTTAAAAACAATAAAACCCTACACTTTTAACAATTCCGGGGATAAATTACTGTGAGGCTCCTTTCAGACGAGACTTCGACTTGGCATTCATCAATAGAGCAGATATAAGGTCCTTGACCGATGTGCCTGCCACGCTGATGCAATGGGATTCAAATGCAGGACTGGCGGGCTTCAAAATCTACGCATGCACATAAATACCACACACTGCTGATAACATTGATCCGACATTTTATACTGGTTTAATTTTTCCCTGCACTTGACAGCAAAACGATTCTGCATAAATAAGGGCTGACATTATGGAATGGCAGTTTTTTTTTTTGCAAGAGTCCTAGAATGTGAATAACCAGCGAAAGGGTGGAAAGTCAGCCAATATTAGGTTTCTTTTTTTTCAAGACATGCGATTACATCAATCATAGTTTGGTCTATGAAAAATTAAGATTAATGTTGAAGTATGTGTCCAGTTTGCAATTGCCATAACATCGTTGCTACGAATGCATGCGTAGTGGTTTCCACGGAGGCACACACTTGAACTCGGAGGCAACACATTTATTATTACACCCCAACATATACGGGATAACGACATAGGTGGTAACTACCATGGTTAACTCAGATCCCAACGGGATAACTAATCATCTGAGTCAGGTCAGTAACGTACTGCCTGACTCACGATGCCAGACGTGACGACCGAACACCGAAGAGCGAGGAGACTTAGCACCGCGCGCTGATTCATGAAGACAGCCCGGATTGGCTCTCGGGACCTCCCCTTTACACCTCTGAGCGTGGCCTGGCTCAGCCCTCGGCCACACCCCCTTCTGGATCCTTAGGGAAGGTTCTGGACCACATGTCACATGTCCCTCTCGACACCCGTTGCCCCCCTCGCTACCCTCACCTAGTCACGTGCCCTCTCGAGTTCACCCAGACTGTCATGTCCTCACTTGCCCTCCCTCTGACTGTTAGGAGAACCATGCCCCTGAGGGACCCCTTCCATATCTTACATACTCTGGTGGCAGAGAGAGACTCAACAACGCACAGTTCCACACTTTTCTCAGTAGCTGGCGCTAAACGCCGCAGTGGCTCAATATACGCCACTACACATGTTTCAACAACTACTGATTTCTGGTAGCTGTTTAATGCTTTAAATATATTTAAATACCTTGCAATAATGAAAAGGACAACCGACCAGCGGGCTGAGCGGTAGAATGAGCATCTCGCAAACGGAATGTTGCGAGAGTTCAAATCCTGGTTAGAGTTTCGGTGAATTAAATGCGCACCACTTTGTGGGAAAGGCAATAGTTGGCCGTCCTATGGGGAGATTCGTCCCCGTCATAGGAACGTGGAATTTCCACCACTGGTTCAGGGCTGTAAATAGGATAGGAGGGGGGGCATCTCCTCGATGTTCATTTTAGGAAGAATTCAACTTAACTTACTTTTATTGTGATTCCCACCCGCACCTCCAATTTGCGCAGTTGGCTACGTACGTTGGCGGTTAGATTCCAAACGTGCTATTGATATCATGTCGTTTGTAACTCCCACAGTGAGTAGTGCACCACTGTGTGTCAGAAGATGGCCTCAGAAGATGATGCAGGCGGAGGGCCTCCGCACCAGCAGTGACATAAGCGGGAAATTGCAGTTCTGCAAATTTACCTTTTAAGTTATGCTTTAGATACCACATTATAATGCATGCAAGTCAAAGTGATAGGAGGCCCATTGAAAAGGCATACATCTTTGGACCATTTTAAGCAGCGAACGGTTATTATAATGAAGAAAAAAGATATTTGAATCCTATTTAAACGTGCTTTGTGTTTTCATACGTTGCACATTGGCAATTACTGCAGTATTTCATTGCAGGAGGCAGCCTATTCACCACACACTCCGAACAGAATACGTTTCAAATATTGCGATGCATTACGTAACCACGTACGCATTTCAACACCTCCGATTTTCGTCACCTATCAAAATAACGCCGTTTATCTTCCATGTCCCGCCCTCTATCTACTAAAAGGTAACACGATGTTCAAGGCAGAGGTGCAGCCCCGCAATTGCTTGGTCAGGCCACTGCTGGTGGATGAGCCCTCCGATTAGCACGGTTGGCTACATACGGTACAAAAGAAGTTAAACATGCACATGCAATCTTGATTTGAAGCTTTCGTGTCTGCAGGGATTCATATTCTTGGTTCTTTCGGTAAAGTCACGTAGGTATAAAATAAAATAAATCACATTTCAGGCGTCCGTCATCCCACCTGATGACGGACGCTTGTGTTGCGCCCGAAACGTCATTATTTATTTTATACCTACGTGACTTTACCGAAAGAAACAAAAAGCATGCACATGTACATACACTAGAGGCAGCTCTAATAGAGCCTCTCTACAATTCAAGCCGACTCCTCTACACTGGCCAGTCGTCTGGCAATCGACACGGCCGAAGTGCCGCTGGACTGAATTAACAGGAGTTGCTCAATCAGATTTCTTATGCTACAGAGTGACTTCCCACGTGGCGAGAATGGAGGGGGAAGTAATATTTTTGAAACGGCGGCTCGGGAAACATCTGGGCGCTTCAATCGTGGCGGGGGGTTGGGAATTAGGAGCTACAAATGCACTTGGGGGGCCTTTCCGTGAGCCAATTACTTCCCCCCTTAGATTAAACGAATATAATGTTTCATTTCCACTCCCTCCGGCGTTGGGACTCTTCACTGGGCAGGGGTATTTGGTATATCCATGGTTGAACATGTAATTATGACACTGCGTGTTGGATATTGTTATGTCTGCATTTGTTCTTGTTTGCTAATGCAATAAGACTATTATTGCTTGTGATGTCTATGGTTATGATACAAATAAAGATGTTGTGGCTGCTTCATGTTTGCTCTGTGTTGTCATCCTTTACTCTTCACTATCCGCTGCTGTGAATGCCAGAACACGCGAAAACATAAATTAAAAAAGGGCTCTGTTGATTCGAGAACAATTGTTGTTGTTTGGGAAAAAAAATTATGTTTAAAGAGCACAAAACACGGCGATGTTATGACCCTTGTTATAAGTGCAATAAAAACCCACAATAGCGCAATGAGTTGTATTAATTGGTATTAAATTTCAGCCCTTTGTCAATGCACTGCCGGATTAATGCCCCTGCATTTCATGTCAGTGATGGGAGAGGGGTGGAGGGAGGAGTGTCTAATCATTCTTCGAATTAGCACGGTTGGCTACGTACGTTGAGAAAAAAAAGTCAACGCACATTACTTCGCCATGCTGGCGGGTTGGTGAAAGGAGCGCCCAAGGAACCGGGTTTGGACGTCGGTCACCACTGAAGCTAACCTTGACTGAGAAATAAACCTCGAGTGATCAGATTCACAGCGCAGTCCGATAACTGCCGTGCTCGCCACTGCACCCCTGTGTAATTATTTAAGTGCACAATGTTATCTTCACGTCTACCACATTTGTAATTTTAATTACATTGTCAAATAATTGTAGGTGGTCCCGTAACTAAATATTCCTTTTGAATAACACATGTTCATATTACATGACAGCATGATGATCATTCGTCATCATAATTAGCCATGGTCAATGCACTGCTGGACGAGGACCTCTCCAAGGCCACCATGTCCCGTGTTCCTACGGTGTACGTTTACGTCATTAGAACATCCCAGGAAATATGGGACACTGAGCCAGCGTTCTCATTGGCTCAACGGTTCCAAACACATGTAATGCGAGCAAGGACAGGGTCACGTGGTGTGGGCGGAGTCAGGGTCACGTGCGGAGGAGTCAGGGTCACGTGAGGGGGAGGATATAAGGGGAGAACCGGAAGGGGATCGGGAGTGGAGACAGAATAGAGAAGGGAGAGGCCACGTGGAGTGCTGGCGAGGAGTGGCGCGATTGCCACGAGGCAGGAGTCACGGCACCGTCGGCCAGCAGTGTTCGTGGAGCAGCAGGGGTGTCTGCAGAGTGTGCGGGAGCACACGGAGTAGTAGGGTGGCTGCTGGGTGCGCGGGGAGCACACGGAGCAGCAAGGGGGCTGCGGAGTGTGCAGAGCACACGGGCAGCGGGGTGGCTGCAGAGAGAGAGAGCGAGCGGGAGCGGAGGACTCGGACGATGTGCGGAGGCACGAGGCGGAGAAGGTGCGGGTCGGAGCGGAGACATCGCGGGGTGCGAGCAAGAACCCAATAAAGGACACGGAGAACAACATCGGCTGAGAGTCCTTTATTACACACATGCCAACGTTGGACCAACATCGTCATGTGTACCGGGATGTACCACTTGCATACCTTGTTCACTCTTTTGGACATCTGTGTGAAAGAGCTTTATAGCTCATCGGATTCCATCCAAGTTGAAATTAATATTCTGATTCTGATGTATTTATACTGGAGGCATCTGATTAGCTGCAAAGTTCCTTTTCACAGATGTCTAGTAGGGGTGGTTAAGAACGTTACAACAACAAACAGCACAAAAACACGATAGGAGTGCAAAGCACAAGGCAAATAAATCACCCAAACACACAAAAATAAAACTAAACCAGAAACTGATTCTGATATTATCAATACACATCTTTTTTCTAAAATGGCTCAATGAATACGTGAAAGTTGTTGTTATTCAAAGAGTAAACAA